GAACCGTCCCATTGCTCGAGCTTCGACGACCCCATCGTCCAGTTCCCACTGACGCGTCTCTTGCTCCGACGACGCCGGACTCGGACAGTCGAGTCCGGTTGTCAGGGCGTCTGCGTCGCCTACAGCTGGTTGAGAGAGACAGCCGGCCGGCGTGGCATTGAGCGCATCTGCCGGGGGGACGAAGGCAAGGCTGGAGCCGTTTTGAAGCACTTCAGAGTAGTCGTGGAGCTCGAAGAATCGTGACAAAGTCGACTCGACTCGACGCCCGACGCCGGCCAGTCGCGTCTCGCCGTCGGGCAGACGAAACAGCCCGTACGGCAACAGCTCGACTCCGGTCAGCTCGACGCCGGTCGTCAAGTTGAAGACGCGTTCGCCGGTCTCGTCTGCCAGCCGGACGTAGCGCGAGAAGAGAGAGCCGAAGCGGGTCTCGTCTGGCCTTCCCGGTTGCAACACGGCCGCGGCCAGCTTTCGCCCGTCGGCGGTGCCCACCAACTCAACGTCGCCGTCGCCGTTCAGCCGCGTGCTGCTGGCCACCTGCTCGCCGGTGGCCACGTCGAAGAGGAGAGGTGAGTTGGCGGGACTTGAAGCGTCGTCTTTGGCGACGACGAAAGCCGGCCAGTCAGGCTGGCCGGCAAGTACGAACCGGGCGTCGGGCAGTTCGACCAAATGGCGGCCGTGCAGTCGCGAGTAGACGACCGGTTGACCGGTGGTCAAGTTGAAGAGGACAACGTTGCTGGGATCAGTCTGCCCTGGCGACGGCCAATGCAGCTGGTACCGACCCCGAGTGCTTTTTGATCCGAAGCTGCGCAGTTGGCCGTCGGGAAGACGGAAGACACCGTCACCAAGCAAATCGGCGTCCTTCACGACCAGGCCGGTGTGAGTGTCCAGAAGGATGGGCTCCATCTTCGTCGTCGTCGTCGTCTCCGCCTCTGGCTCCGATCGGTTCATGGCCAGCCACAAAAAGCGCCTCATCTGCATGGCCTTGGCAACTAAGAACTGCCCTCCGGGTAGACGAGCCACACCGTCGGCCAGTAACTCAGCCCCGAGCACCGGCTCGCCGCTGACAGAGTCGTAAATCTCGGCCGGTAGGCCGGGATCCGCAGGCTGCTTGAAGTAGAAACGCTCGGTTGTTAAGGCATCAGAGACGTCTGACTCAGTCTTTTCGAGATCGCTCTGGCCGTCCGGGCTCGAGGTGTGTGCCGGTAGCATCGGCGAACGAGCATCGCCATTGCCACCGACCACGCCATCTCTGTCGGCTGATGACGTTGTCGAGTCAGCTTCTCCGTCGATGGGCGAGGTCGTAGAAAGTGCTTCAATACCTGACGGCGACGCTGATGAGACATCTTTTCCGACGATAGGCGGAGTGGTAGAATGATCTTCAACTCCGGACGGCGACGATGATGAGTCATCTACTTCGTCGATGGGCGAGGCCGTAGATTGTGCTTCAAGGCCGGACTTCAGCGCTGATGAGTCATCTTCTCCATCGATAGGCGGAACGGTAGAATGTTCTTCAACGCCGGATGGCGACGATAATGGGTAATCTTTTCCGTCGATAGGTGAGGCCGTAGGATATGCCTCAATGCCGGACGGCGACACGGATGAGTCATATTCTCCGTGGATAGACGAGTGCGTAGAACATGCCTCAGTGGTGGACGGCGGCGTTGATGAGTCATCTTTTCCGTCGATAGGTGGAGCGGTAGAATGATCTTCAACTCCGGACGGCAACGAGGATAAGTCAACTTCTCTGTCGATGGGCGAGACTGTAGATTGTGCTTCAAGGCCGGACCTCGACGTGGATGAGTCATCTCCGTCGATAGGCGGGCCGGTAGAATGATCTCCAACTCCGGACGGCGACGATGAAGATTCATCTTCTCCGTCGATAGGCGAGGCCGTAGAATATGCCTCAGTGCCGGACGGCGACACGGATGAGTCATATTCTCCGTGGATAGGCGTGTGCGTAGAACATGCCTCAGTGGTGGACGGCGGCGTTGATGAGTCATCTTCTCCGTCGATAGGTGGAGCGGTAGAATGATCTTCAACTCTGGACGGCGACGATGAAGAGTCATCTTCTCCGTCGATAGGCGAGCCGGTAGAATGATTTTCAACTCCGGACGGCGACGATGAAGAGTCATCTTCTCCGTCGATAGGCGAAGCCGTAGAATGTGCTTCAATGCCGGACATCGACGCTGTTGAGTCATCTTCTCCGTCGAGAGGCAAAGCTGTAGAGTAGACGTCGCCGTCGCCGTTGGACGACGATTCGGCCAAGTCGGCGAGAGGTATGCTGATCGGTTGGCCGTTG